CCCTCACGGAATGAAGTTACTGTCGGAAGCTAAATTTTGATTTATGCACTGATGCATATTCATCCGCCATCTCTGCAGCTCCTCTTACTTTGGTAACTTTCTGTTCCTCAATATGAGTTCTTTCCATCTCTGGAAGTGATTTTTTAAATTTCTCCAGCAGAATGATCTCTCTAAAACCCACATATGTCTTTTCAATCTTTAATGCGCTCACCCATCTATCGAAGTTGCTATGTTTAATTATTTCAAACTCGATATAAGTCTGAGCTAGTTCCTTCTTTATGTTTCTGAACCGTTGTCTGTATGCTCTGGTACCAATTTGTAGGCTCTCAAAATAGCCTGCTTAATATCTTCATAATTTCTTCACACCTAATTTGACAGTACTGCAAACACCTCACTATGGCCCTGCCTATCAACTTGGTCTGAATTAACATTACACACACAGTCTCTGGCCAATTCATCTGTCTAGCCAGTTTTTGAATGGAAATGAAAAAGGTTTCTACATCTTTTTCATCAAATTTTGGTAATGTTTTGATATGTTTATATATATCCCTATCAAGTCTTTGGCTATGATGGGTCTGCTCACCACCACGGTCCTCCTCGCTAAACTTACCTTTTACCTTCATCTCCATCCTGTTAAATTGTCTTTCATGTCTAATTTGCAACTTCTGAAGTTCAAACTCTCTCTTTTTCTCCCACTTCTCTCTCTCTTTTTGCTTAGCTAAGAACCTTCTCTCCTTCTCTTTATCTTCTAACTCCAGTGGTCTCATTTGCAACTTAATTTTTTCCAACTCTACTGCACTTGCCTGTTTCTCTGATATACCTAAGTGCTTGGCCAACTCCATTACAATTTCAGCTTTCCTTTTATCCCTAGTTAAACCCAATTCTAGTCAGTTTGCTAAGTCTAAAAGTATATCCTTCCTCTGTCTTTCTAAACTTTTTGTTGGCAAACTTGGGAAACATCTTCAAACCTCAAAACCTCTTTAGCAATGTTAAGAGCTTTTTCGCTTACTTTTAATTTAATGACAAGTAACCAAGATTAAATAGAGTCTTCTTTTACTCACCTACGTTTTATTTAACAATCTAAGACACTAATCCCCAAGACTGGTCCAAATCCATTCAGACCCCATATACAAACTGGGCAAATCCTGGACTTGAGCCCCCAAAACTGTTAGGAAGGAGAGGGGAAGTCGAAGCCCTCTGATAATCAAACTGAAATACAAACCCCAACCTGTTAGGATGAAAGTAGCGGTTCCCTTCTAATAATTAAATCCGAAACACCCAAAGAGGTTCACCTTGCCCTTCCTAATCCATTAAAAGAGTGGTGAAAGGAAAGAAAATCCCTGATCTCCACTCTATAAGAAATAAGTAACAATTTACTTGTTTATTCCTAACAATGAATAAATTAAAAGAAACACTAACAAACTGAACAATTTACCCTCTTTATACTAACTACTCCCTAAATGAACTAAATTCTACTGGAATACTGTTCAAATAAACACAAGTCACCCTTAATAAACCCAATGAATAAGAGAACAATGAATTATAATTTAATCTCTCCAAGTTCCCACAGACAGTCTCCTAGAATATTCTGTCTTCTCTGCTTTCTTCACAAACACCTTTCTTCCGTTAATTCTGCTGTCAGGGATGCTTTATCTCTATAATTTCTTCAATGAGGACTTTGAGCTAAAATACCATGGTACCTTTGAATAATTAGATGGGCTTTCTCTGAAAGCTGAATGGCGCTAACTTTGGCAGGTGGCAGATGGCTCTCCCCGATTTTCCAAATGCCCTCATCTTATATACCCATAATGACATAATCAAATTATTATAAATAGGATTGACTTAGGTTATCAATTCAATTGGCCTTCTCTATCAAGGTGCTTGGTTTAAAATAATTGGCCAAATTCAAACTTGTTGCCTTGGAAAAAGTGCTGCTTGGCTGTTTTATACAAAATGTTTCCATTCAGGCACTCCCTGTGCACCTGCATTTGTAAACTTCCAAGTACAGACAAAGCACAAGCTCTTAAAACTGACCACGGCACACTTTTCCCCACGTCTGTTTTTATCAACAAATTCTAACTTCCTGCCTTCCAATTCATTAATGTTTTACCCAAATTCATAACAAGCTACACGCTTGGATTCATGCAATTCCTCAAATAAATGCTTATAAGTTTAATGATTGGTTCTACTTCCATCCTTCACCATCTGGCTTTCTGGAATAGAAAATCAATCATATTGTAACTTGACTAGAAACACATGTAAGCCAAATGGAATAATGATGACAGAATTCCTTTTCTAAAGGGTATTTTGCATCAATAAGTTTTAACAACAATCTGATAACTTCATAACCATCAATACTGATGTGCGATTTTATTCTAGCTTTATTGGATTAAGTGAAGTGACCACTGGGGCTGTTAATTTTCTCTAAAAATAATTTAACATCTTCCAGACAGCTTTCAAAGGATTTCATCCAGCTGATGTGTGTGGTGAATAATTTATAAACTGGTTCTGGATTGTTAATGGACTGATTTCAACATTTTGTAATAATTACTTGTGCACGTTAAATAATAGTATTCATGAATGAACCAGTTTGTTTGGTTAGTGTCCTACACCAGCTAGGCCAGCATTTATTGCCCAGATGGCAGTTAAGAGTTAACCAAGTTGCTGTGGGTCTGGAGTCACATTTAGACCAGACAAGGTAAGGATGGCAGTTTCCTTCCCTAAAGGACATGAATGAACTAGATGGGGTTTTCCCAACAGATTCGAGGTCATTATCAGGCCTTAATTCCAGATTTTTATTAAATTCGAATTCCGCCATGGCAGGATTTGAACCTACGTTCCCAAAACATTACCTGGATCCCTGGAGTAACAGTCCAGCAATTATACCACGAGGCTGTCACCACCTGTGACTTGCACCTTAATCACCATTTAGTCTGTTAACTGCAGAACTCTTTTTTTTCCAACATGAGAGCAAATTGTTATTAATTTCAATTCCAATAGTAAAAACTTGATAAGCAAAACAACTCCTGGCAGATTATTCTTGTACATTAATTTGTACAAAAATGTAATTATCACAGCTGAAAAGATTCGTCATTCATCACAACTGCAGACGACTTCATGCGGAGGTAACACTTTCATACATGGTGGGCAATCACTAATGATAAAACAGACTTTCTGAGCTGGATATAAAACTGACATTGGGAAATGGTAAGAACTGGAGCACAACTAGTCTAAAACCTAACTACTGGATGAACAGAGACAGTAGGAACTGCAGATGCTGGAGAATCTGAGATAACAAAGTGTAGAGCTGGATGAACCTCTTCGACCTGTCTGTTTCCTCTCCACCTATCTTCTCCTCTATCCATCTTCTATCCGCCTCCCCCTCTCTCCCTATTTATTTCAGAACGCCCTTCCCCTCCCCCAATTCTGATGAAGGGTCTAGGCCCGAAACGTCAGCCTTCCTGCTCCTATGATGCTGCTTGGCCTGCTGTGTTCATCCAGCTCTACACCTTGTTATACTGGATGAACACACTATTTTGGTGTAGTTTGAGAAAAGTGGCAACACGTGTTTCATTAGAAATAGGGTATATTTGAATCTGTTAGAGAAACATTGCATTATTGATTAATTCACATACAAATCATGTGTAGCACCTCTTCTGAGTGATAGTTAACATCATGCTTAACACACCTCCAATATAAAAAATGTTAAACCATATGTTCTGTGCCAACACAATCCTGCAGAGGGTGCTTCAAACCAATACTAGGCACCTTATTTAAATATAAAAGGACCTAAAAGCTTGTTTCAGCTGTAGGCATTAGATGACTGTAGCAATATGACAGGCAGCTCATTTACTTCTTGTAATGAACATGTTCTTCTTACAGCCAATTTGAAGGTTTGGGATGCCATTTAGCTCCAGTACAATGAACAATGCATGGTAAATCTCTAGGCCAGTTCACTTTACTAGACAAAGATCTTTTGAAAATGTAATGACTTTGTGCAATAATGCAAAGTATTAAAAATCAGTAAAGATGTATGGCAGGTTGCCCATTTAGTACTAACTGTTACACACCATCGCACAAAGTCAGAATTGACCCTTTTCAGTCAATTGGGCAGTTGGTTAAAAACTCCTCAGTTTAAAAAAATACAGAGAATGGTTCTATCTACAAATGCTGTCCTTCTGATTCATCCAATAAAGAACATTGCCTTCAAGGTAAAGTTACTTTACAAATATTGACACCTCTGCAGAGAATTTACGTTGCACAAAAGTCAGTTTTGGATTAATTCTAATCTCCAGTATTTTACAAAAACGGACACAAGTTCCAATTAAAAGTCATTCCCCAAATAAAAGTACGGCAAAATAGCATTAAAATAATTGACAGAAATGTTCTTGTTGCATTTTTATATAAATGTTTTGCTCAAATTAGCTGTAAATATGTCTGATTTAATTACAAAATATTTGCCTTGCTACCTTATCACTTAAAACAAAGAATCAGCAGGCAGGAAATGAAAATCCATCCAAATTTGATTTGTGAATGGTTCTGAAACTAAGGAATATTTTAGTATATTTACAAGTAACAAAAAGAAGGTGGTTTATTTAGTTGATTAATTTAATGGCAAATATCTTTCAAATCATTTTAATAGATAGGATAATTATTCCAGATTCTACAGATTTTCAACATCTCACACCGAGAGCTTATGAGGTAGTGTGTAATAAAGGTACAAGTTCACTTTGAACAATATCTTCATGCAAAATGGAACTGAAAAATTGAGTTATGCAAAAATAATGCCCATGTCCCACTTCACTTGAAACAATAAAAGATAACAACTAAAACTCTGACTTATTTAATTTTTCAACAGCTTTACAAATATACTTCATTTTACTCCTGTACCTAATTGTTTAGGTAATTGGAAATTACTTTCCAAATGTTACTGAGAAGGGAAAATGAATTGAATGCAGTCATAATACAATTTGTAAACTATAATGTATTACTTCCTGTGAAGAAACCTCAACCAAGAACGTATTTGATTGCACATTTTAATTGATTTCTTTCTATGATTAAAATTCTAAGATGCAAAAGCAACAGGCTTGAGAGGTGGAAACATTTTCAAAAAAAATCAAACAGACAGTGATAGAGCAAGCCATTAGGAGGTTAACATGAGTAACGTAGCAGATTGCTCAAAGCTTTTTCATTGCACTATTCACGATAGTTCAGATGACGTATGCGTGGAAATCAGTCCTTTCCATCGGGATCATACATCTCAGTTCTGCAGTCCGCTAACTGAAAATATAAATTGAATTTTCAATTGCAAATTTTTTTATCACTGTGTTGTACTCCAAAATATCTTCAAAAATTTTATGAAATATTGCAGATACAACTGACAATAATGAAATGAGCAACACTATCAACATCCATGCAATTTGCAGAGTTAGAAAGAGAATCTCTCCCTTCTAATAAGAGACATATTACAACAATAGTGCAAGTTAGAAGTTCATTGATAAGTGTTGTCAATACTGAAATAATTTGTGTATGAAACTGCTAGAAGCAGAACAAGAAGAGAAGGAAAGAGGAGAAATTTCAGAAATAAAATCTATATTTTGCAATTTTAGTTTGTATTCACATGAACAGACACATGTATGCAGACATTCGATGCAGGACTAAGGGAGTGATAACACAGTGTGAAGCTGGAGGAACACAGCAGGCCAGGCAGCATCAAAGGAGCAGGAAAGTTGACATTTCAGGTCAGGACCCTTCTTCAATGGAAGTGCTACACCTGCCCCTACACCTGCCCCCTCACCCCCATCCCAGGCCCCAAATGACCAACCCCCACCCCCACTTCTTACCTACTAGCCTCATTCCCACCTCCTTGACCTGTCCGTCTTCCCTCCCATCTAACTGCCCCTCCCTCCCAACTGACCAAACCCCATCCCAACTCCCCACCTACACTCACCTTTACTGGCTTCATCACCGCCTCCTTGACCTCTCCGTCTTCTCTCCACCTATCTGCTCCTCTATCCACCTTCCATTATCGCCTCCCCATCTCTCTATTTATTTCAGAGTCCCCTTCCCCTCCCCCATTTCTGAAGAAGAGTCCAGACCCGAAACCTTAGCTTTCCTGCTCCTCTGATGTTGCCTGGCCTGCTGTGTTCATCCAGCTCTACACCTTGTTATCTCAGACTCCAGCATCGGCAGTTCCTACTAATTCAAAGTCCGGACGATGTAGTTTTCCAGACTTGTTTTTCAGCTGGCCAACCAATTCAGTATGGCTATATTTGGAAAGCACTCAGTTGTTTTGTGTCTCTGGCTTATTCACACAGCTTCCCAGGATTGGGACATTTTTAGCCAGCTCACACAATACTTCCACATGCTCCTATCTCCTCTTATCTCAGACAAAAAGGCTGACCTCTTTCTGAGAGGATGTGGATCTTCTGCTCACAAGAATTGTGTATTCTTCTTTTTGCCTCTGTTTGCTTTCAATTTGTGCTGCAAATGTGTATTCATCGCCTTCACCATCCTGTTCCTTGACATATAGCTTCCTTCACTTCTACAAGTCACACAGTTTGTTTGTATCTTCCTTCCAGTTTGTACTACTTTCAGGTTAAGCGTCATTAGATCATGGTGATCAGTGTTCCTTATAATCCATGAAAATCACAATTGAGCCCTTTACAAGTGATCCAAACTCTTACACATTCTTTCCAAACATTCTCAAAATCAATTACAGATTCCACAAATCTTTGAAAGAAATTACATAGTGTCCTGACTATACTGCTTCTGGGATCAAAGGTTATCACACTCAAACAACATCATGTGTTGATGAGAGTTTACTGAATGCAAAGTAACTCCCATTTTCAGACATTACAACAATGATTATGCTTCAAAAAGTACTTAATTGACTGTAAGGCTCTTTAAGATGCATTTTCTTTTTAATTTGAATTCTAGCAACACGAACCTTTTATGGCTTTAATGAAATTCTTCATCCATTGGACCTTAGGATTCACGCATAATTTCTTCCCATTTTTCATGGTAACACTGTAAAAAGGTCAATTTTTAAAAAGCTAATCCTCAGAAATTGCAGATGAAAATTCAGTAAAATAAAAGACACTTAAAAATAAAAAAAACGTAAACTCCCAATCACTAAGTAATCAAAAGTAGTAAAGAGTCCATCTTAGTAAATGAACATAGCAAAAGACAAATTAAGATTTCAGTTCTTTCATTACAGCAGAATGTTCTGATACATCTACTCACATTATCTCTGTTGCCACACAGTGAGATCCTCTTGGAATGTACTTTATGCTGCGAATTAATTTTGGGTCAAAATGATTGGCAGTAGTCCGGATACACTTACAGCGTCCCTGGATTCCTGGGATTGGAATCCCTGTGAATAGATATTTTAATTTATATTCAATTATTAGTTGAAACAGAGAGGAACTTTGTGTTTTTGTCCAGATTGAAATTTTCATGTTTGTTCTGTACATGACCTATTTTGATAGAGTAATACTCTAATATGCAAACACCACAGGGATTAATTTGAGCCTACCCAACACACAGTCCCTGTATTGAACCTATAATTTGTTGAAGCCCTCCTCAGTATTGACTATTCACTACTACCCTTCATCCCTAATTTGGTATCACCTGCCAATTTAGAAATTATGTTTTAATTTCAATGTCCAAATTGTTGATCTAATTTGTGAATTACTGTGATCCTAGCAATGGATCCTTGTGGAAAATGACTTCCCATTTTCTGCCACTCTGAATAATTAGCTCTACTCCCATTCTCTGTGTTCTATCTTCAGGCCAGTGTGCAATCCATTCTGTCACTTGTCTCTAGCTCAGCAATCTCTCACCTCATTCATTAGTCAATTGTCCACCACTTTTGAGAATCCAGACAAATTGCATCCACTACATTACCATTGTTTACTGTCCCTAATACCTCATCAAAAGTTCAACAAGATTGGTTAAACATATTTTTTCTTTCTTTTGAATCAAATCTGACTATTTGCTATTCTGTTTTTCCTCTCTAGATTCACTCTTTTCTCTTTTTCAGAAGAATTCATTTTTTTAACCACCAATATTAAACTGATTATAATGCCATAATTCCCTGGAAATGTTCTGTTTCCCCCTTTTAAAGATAACGTTACATTTGCTAACCGCCAGTCTTGTTATCAATGGTATTATTCCACCTCTTGTTGGTCCTATTCCCGTAACAGCGTCCTCTTCTGTCACTATTTTGCCTTATGTTCCTTGATAATTTGATTTCATAGTTCCTCTTTGCCTTCCTAATTGCATTTTGCGTGCATCTTTCTTAATGCTGAATCGGTTCGTTGTCTTTATGCAACCTCGGAGTCTCAAAGTCCTTTCCATTGCAATTGAGTTGTTAATAGCATGTTCCACCTTAAAATCAACCTCACTGACGCCGAAATTTAATGCTTGCAAGTTTTGAAGCCTCATTCCTTCAGATTTTAATTGTTGCACATTTAAAAATAAAAGCAATATTTTCAACCACTTTCACTTTCATTAACTACTCACAATTTGGACGTCTTTTACTGCAGCTTGACAAAACTTTGTTTTAGGAAAGTGCTGGGACATCACGTCCAACCAAATATTGAACGATTGAAATAATTATGAATTAGGCATGTGTGTTAAACATGAGGTATGTTACAGTATCACTGTATGATTCCTGAATGACAGTGTATATGTAGAATAAAAGGCACAAAATACTATATTGTCCGTAAACTGTTTTTAAACCGATAAATTAGCTTATTCAGTCAGGAATTAATTCATTTCAAGCAGGGAACTTCACTGGTGAACTGTACCAGAACTAATCTCGGAGTTATTATTTGACATGCTGAACCAATAACAGAGAGGCGCGGGTTAACTTCTAATTACACTTCTGATTTTCCCGTGATCATGAAGATTGATGAATTGTGAACAATGTCCGACAGAATATCAGAAATAGATATGGCAGCGAGATACGTGCTAGCTATAATCCAGTTTCCTGTTTTTTTGTCTATATAAGCGACAACTGGATTGCGACAAGCACCACTGTTTTTGTATGTACTGAGCTGTCTACAATATGCGGTTCCTGTTGTTTCTGAGCAATAAATAGCCACTTCAAAAGCTGGGATCGTTTCTGCCGTGGATAACTTGCCTGCGAAATGTTAGCTTTGGATGGAGGTGATCACCACCATAAATAACACCAGTTCACCAGAATCACACGCTACAAAATGATCAATTTCCTTTTTTTTTGTTGCTTGATATGTTGTAAGCAGCTATACAAGACAAATGTCAGAAGTAAACACTGAAAACAAAAAAAAATGCTGGGGGATCACAGCGTGTCAGGCAGTATCCATGCAGAGAAAGCAAGCTCACATTTCGAGCCTAAATGTCCTTTCAGCTTAGCTTGCTCTCTCCCGATGGATGCTGCCTGAGTGGTGTGATCGCCAGCATTTTATGATTTCAGTGCAGATTCCAGCATCTGCAGTAATTGCTCCTATACTGTCAGGAATAAACAGCCTGGAAACTGCAGAGTCGTGCAGTGGGTCGTGATTAACTTTCGCATGTTACATTCCTCCAGCTGCTGCCTTCTCCTTCCCGAAAGACCAGCGGGAGTCTTGAACCAGGTTTTCACTCCTACCAGAAAGTCTCCTGCACGCCATGAAGTTTCAGGGAATTAAAAACCAAGCGGGATGATGTCCTTCCATCTCGCTCGATATTACAAATGCAGACTATAGTCATAACATGAACGTTGTTCAATCCCCATTGTGTTCCAATAGCTGTGGAACACACGGGGTACATATTGCTAGAATGGAATAAACAGTTACAATTGAAATCAAATAAAAGTCGTTTTTTTTCAGTCTAAAGCAGAAGTTGACAAATATCGACATACCCTGTGCAGTCATGGCACACAGAAGCAGGGCCAGGATGATCAGAGTAACTGCTCTTTTCATCTTGCACGCTGGGGGTACTGGTGAGATTTAAACTGAGGGGCTTCTAATTACTGTCTCTGCACCTCTCAGTTGAGTGGAGTCGAAGTGAAGATTTCTCCGGGAACCCTCTATTTATCAAACATGTCCACTTTCATTTTGCACGACTTAAAGAGGTGGCCATTAGTAAATATGGGAAACTCCTGAGGGAATCTCCCTTCCGAATTAAACATTCTGAGCTCTTCTTTACGTGAAATAAAATGAAACTGCTGTCAATAACATTCCTTGGGACAGGCTTGATCAGATGACCCTTAGCAATTCAACTGAAAGATCATTAACCCATGATTCTCTGTCCATTGATGTCACTTGCCCTGCTGGAAGTTTATGGCATCATCTGTTTTATTTAGTTGTGATAATTCTTACACATTTACCTCCTGGCAACTTTTTTTCACGGCAAAGATAATCGAATTAATCCCTGAATCCGTTGTGATAACTAACGCCATCCATCTCCTTGTGTTTTATCGCCCTCCCCATTGGAGGATGATGGGGAAAAAAAAACTTGTTTTTCTGTAGCACCTTTCAGGACCATTGAATGTACGAAGTCGTTTAACAGACAATGAAGCTCTTTCCAGATGTCATTACGTACTTTCCTATGTTGTAACATAGGAAACAAGTCAGCCGCACAGCTAACGCTGCCTCTAAACTGCACTTTTCTGAAGAAGGGTCCCGACCCGTAATGTCAACTTTCCTGCTCCTCTGATGCTGCCTGGCCTGCTGTGTTCCTCCAGCTCCACACTGTGTTCTCTGTCTCCAGCATCTTCAGTCCTTGCTATCTCTGCGCTACTGTGCTGATGCTTCCAGGGCCTGTGCACGTTGTTTGGCGTGCCAACACCTGTCACAGCATTGATTTCCAATTCCAGAATTCGCTGCTGCTGTGAACATTGGAGCTCCACGCAGAAGGAAACAAAAATAGCGTGAACGCTGCGCACTACTGTTAACCACAGGCAGTTAAAGAGGAATTAATTAGATACGTTAAAAAATTAATCACGAATAGCAACAGGTCAGCAGCAGACAATCCAGATCCAGATCTTACACTTGGCTCACAGGGGAAAATCCTCAGACTTTTTTTACTCACTATAATTTTCTCACTATAATTATCTCACTATAATTTTAAAAACAAACACAATTTAGATGACAGCGTTAAAACCTGTGACTTACAGGAAACATTTCTCTTTTCCACTGGCTGTAGTTTACATTATAGTTCTGAGGACCTTAATGTTCGCAGTTACAAACTATTTGGAAATAGTTCCAATGATGCACATATAAATTACAATGAACATGTGCTTATATTGAGTACTTATTAGGTCCCGTCACTATTCCAATGTAATTCCAAAGTAGCTTACAGTTGCCACCAGCAATGGATTTCAAATCTAATGATGTAGCAGCACCATGGATGGAAAACCCTTCTGATATTTTTGCACCTACAGAGATGTTTTATAATATATACAGTGCAGTTTTCTACCATCTTTTCTATTTCCAAAAAAGCTCCTTCAAAAATAACAAAGGTAAGATAAAGCAACTTTGACTTATTAGCCAATAAGTAATTATAAGCCTAATACGTAATGTGTGCCAAATCAACTATGTTGCTAATCCCATCTCTGCTATTTTAATGCTAACATGAATCTTTTCAAGTAAAATATGTTCATTCTTTGGTAAAGAAACTGGAGAACAATTTGAGAAGCATCCATGGAATAATGTTGCAGCAAATCTGGATTATTATTGGAATTTGGGTATTACTGGCAATGCTAGAAACTGGGAGATGCCAAATTGTCCTGCAAAATGAGGAATGAATCATCTTTTTGAACTCTTTTCAATCTCTGTGGGAGTGTATGGTAGCAGCTTGGTAGATTTGAATAAACTGCTTTCCCACAGAAAAAATCAGTTACAGTTAAGTGCCTTAGCATGGGACTAGATTAACATATAAGCCAAACAAAGATATTATAGAGGGGAGAAATGCCTGTAAAATACCCCAAGTCACATTTAACCAACCACCCACCCCTTTACAACATGTCAAAGTTTTTACAAGGGACAGATAAGGCTTACTTAGAGTGTCTGCCCATCCTCATCCCTTTTGAGGTCAAGCAGTCAACACTTGGCTACTTGAAACTGCTACACACCATCTGTAATTTTGAGGTGTGCAGGAGGAAGTCAGAGAAGAGGGAGTGGAAACCTGGCAAGTTGGTCTGCTTGGGCCTTAGCAGGATTGAGGTGGAGATGGTGGCAATTCCATTGATGCCCTCCTTTCCTGATTGCCAGTCCACAAGATCTGACAGGAGATAGCAAGAACTGCAGGTGCTGGAGTCAGAGTCAATAGTGTGTGGAGCTGGAGGAACACAGCAGGTCAGGCAGCATTAGAGGAGCAGCCAGGTCGACGTTATCGTTTTACATCCTT